TTCCTCGCTCTGTCTCTGGTGAATCCTCTCACCCCCATCACCAGTGGCCTACACCCCATTTCTTCTATAAATATATCTTAAAAAAAAAAGGTTGGGGCAGCTAGATCCCTCCAGAGCCGACCGACCGTTATCAGGTCTCACCCCTTCCCATAGCATTCCTGTTCTCCTTCTGTGCTTCCTCAGCTTTAAATATACGCAGCCAAGGAGCGCCAGACAGTAGAGGAATGGGAACCCCCTGGAGGACTTGAAGTAGAATGACCGTCTAGAGTGCTTAAATGTATATATAAATTTTAGTTTTCGGAAGTTTTAGATTTACAGAAAAGTTGTACAAAGGGTTCAAGGAGACTCCACACCAAGTTTCCCTGATTATTAGCGTCTTACATTAGTGAACCAATGTGGATACATAATTATAACTGAAGTCCGTATTTCCTTCACAGCCCATCGTGTTTCCCTAGCGTCACTTTCTCTTCCAGGAGCCCATGTAGGACACCACTTTTGCACTTAGTTGTCACGTGTGCTCAGATTCCTCCTGGCTGCGACAGGTCTGGTTATTCTGGTTTTAACAATGCCATTCTGGTTTGCAGAATTGAGAAGCTTTTGAAGGGGACAGAGTGAAAACATTGAGACCAGTTAGGAAGCCACTGTAATAACCCAAGCAGGAAAAAATAGCAGCTGGGATAGAGTGATGGCACAGAAGTAGGGAGAAGGGATTTCGAATATATCAATGCCAAGACGAGCAAGTGGAGGGAATGAGTGTAGAGAGAAAAGAAAAAAAAAAAAACCAGGGTCAGGCAGGGATGGAGCCCTTGGGGCCCTCCAACAAATTGAAAGTCAGCGAGGTTAAAGAGAAACTAGGGAAGTCTGGCCAAACAGGAGTCGCCAGTTAGGTAGGAATAAATCCTAAACGTGCCACGTCCCAAGCCAAGCCGGGAGACAGTGTCCACCTGCACTGCAGGCTGTGATAGGCCGAGGCAGATAAGGGCCTTTGGGGCCACCACAGATCAGTGGTGACCTCTGAGCAGTTTCGGTGGCGTGGTGAAAGCAAAAGCGTGCTTGGGGAGGGGTCAGAGAGAGCGGGTAGGCTTGAGACAAGGGGAGTGAAGAAGCTGACTGGGAGGTGGCCATGGCGATGTGTATTTCACACCAAGAGAAAACCCCGCAAACTAACATTTAACTATAGTTAATGATGTGTGTGATGGAGTATTTAGGAGAAAGTGTAGTGATGTCTGCACCATTAAAATGTGGGTGGGGGGCGGGGAGAGGAGGGATTAGGGTCAAAATAAGGGGATTGCAATTGTATGGGGAATATAAAAATAAAATTTATTTTAATAAAATAAAATAAAATGTGCCAGGAAATCAGATGACCGGAAGGATAGATAACAGAAGACAGGTAGGTGTGTGATAAAGTATATATTGCTAATGGTATGATTTAGGTGGTAGGTAAATGTGTTTGTTGTTTAATTTAATGTTTCTCTATAAAGCTTTCATAATAAAATGTTGGGACGGGGGAGAGAAAAGGAGCAAAGAATTAGGAGACAGAATACATACAACTGTTAAAAGGAATTCTGATGTAAAGGGAAGAAAAAGCAGGAAAATTAAATGAAGTCTGTTTTCACCCTCATCCCAAAGATGGGAATAGTAGCTGGATTTTTCTTTACTGCTCAGAAAAACCCAGTAGACAAAAACTTGATGCAGAAGAGAAAAATTGCTGGATATTGTCCTTGAGCAGAGAAGAGACAGGCTCTAGCACAGAAGCAGGATTTTGCTTAGGACCGTGGACAGAGCAGAAGGAGGCAGGATGAGGATGTAAATTACCAGAGGCTGTGGATATGGTGGTGCTCTCTAAGATCTCTGGTTGCTCTTTTTTTCCTCCAGTGCAATAGGAAGTGAGATCATTGGCTGGGCAGGAGGGTGGAGGAGCTGTGAGTCTTCTGAAGGTGGGAAAAGATATGGCAGTTGGTAACAGTGCATGCAGGGACTGGGGAGATCTGTGAGTGTCCCCATGAAATCTTCTGTGAGGCTTAACAACCTTCAGCTGTTAAAGTCTCAGAAATCATGGCACAGATGGAAGGGCAGAAACTGTCAGTTTTTTTTTTTTTTTTTTTTTTTTTTAAGGAAAGAAGATATTCTCATAGTTGATGAATGTGAATCTTCAGCTAGGAGGGGCCGGCCTAGTACCCAGCATAATGGATAAAAACAGAGAAAGGAAACATTCTAAAACTATCTAGAAAATGAAACAAGTCTCTCTAAAGAAATTATTGCTTAGAGGGCCTCCCTGGTGCTGCAAGGAGTTAAGATGCAACCTGTGGAGCTGTCCACAGCCACCATAGCATGGGTTCGATCCCTGGCCAGCCAGGGAGCTGCCCACATGGCACAGCAGACCTCTCCTGGCTCGCCTGCTGCTCCCCACTCTGTCTCTGGTTGAATGCTCTCAACCCCACACCTCTGGCCTGTACCCCAGCTCTTGTATGCATAAATACATAAATCTTAAAAAAAAAATTATCGCTAGAGTACCAGGAAGTTTGCAGAGTAACTCCAAATTCCAGAAAACAATGCCTTCCAAATTCTGGGGCAGTGTTGCTCATCCTCGATCCTGTTCTTTAGCTACCTGAGCTAGCAGCATGCGGGTGTAAGCAGAGTCAAGGCTTCCCAGACAGGCCAAGACCCTCTCTGATTGTTTGGTCTCTTAGGAAGTGCTTAATAGTGCAGCAAAAACCTAGAACGGGGAAGATGGACTGAGAGTCGGCACCTCCTGGTGAGGAGCACGTCAGAGGGAGTGTTCCACTTCCAGTGTATACCATCCTGGAGGAGTTGTGATAACTTAGAAATAAATAAAACCAGGGAAAAGTGGTTTTAAGGCCTTTAGAACTCTAGGAAAAGCAGAAGGCCTTCGAATAAAGGGAGTATGATTTTTTTTAAACAATTTTGCTTTTTCTCCCAGAGCTGTCAACTGTGACCTGACAATGAAAATCTAACTCTGGAAAATGGATCAGGGTTCTAGTCAGCTGAGACTTGATAGCTTGATCATCACAGATCTGCGATGTTGCCACTTGTGACCTTTGCCACTCGGAAGAGGTCATAAAGCAGTGTCCTGTCGTAGGTGGTCATAGGCTGTCTGGTCACCTGCGTGATTCGGGAAACCACTCATTACTCTGGGCGGGGGCAGGGGGGAGCCCTGTGTGTCTGGTTAGCTCTTCCGCTGCCAGGCAGCACAGGTCTCACCCCACCCGTCTCTGGCTGACCTGGGATCACAGCGCTGTAACAAGCTACACTTTAAACACTACGTGATATCAGGAAGTTGCTCTTGTCGCCTGGAATTGAGGGTCTGACAAAGCCATTGTTTGTTTTACGACATCCTATCATTTAGTGCTCTCAGTCCCTCTGTTCTCTGCTGGCTGTGACGTTTCTGTGGGATGAAAGTGCTGGTTTTCCACACGGAGCAGTGTGTAGGTGCTTAGAGATAAAACTTCGAGGCGGAGCAAGGCTGGGCTTGTCTTTGCTGGTACATGCCGTGCGCCCTGGCTGTTCTGCTGCCCCCGCCCAGCCCTGCCAGCCAGCCTGCTCGTTCTTGTGGGCGCAGCTGCCTGCTTAATTGCCAGAGAGGCCTCCCTCCCAGCAGCTCCAGAGGGGTGTTAATTCAGCCTGTCTTAACAGCAGCTATATTTGTCTCGATTCAGTTGGAGAGGTGATTAGGAAAAGTTGTCACAACCTGAACTTCTAATGTCTATTTTCTTGATGAAAGTGTCCATATTTGGGGGTCTCAGAAGACTCCTAATGTCACTCTGGGAAGAAGAGAAAGTATAAATAAGCAGGTAAGTTTGTCTCAGGGTGTACTAGTTAAAGTGGAGCGGTTTCATAGGTTCCAATGTTTGCTCTTGATGGTTTTGTGGAAAGTAATGTCAGCTGCGTGTCGCTATTTTTAATTGTAGTGATTACAACATCACCTGTGTGCGCACCGACTGGAGTGGTTCACAGCTGAGCATTCTCCCTTCTATGCATTTCTTTCTCTTTCTGTTCATTTATGGTGGGGATAGTTACCCTTCCCATCCCTTACATAGTTAACATTACCTTGAGAAGCCTGTGATGTGACGTGGGGTTTGCTGTCTCGCCCTGCTCTGTGCTGTGTTCCTTGTTCTGCAGAGGGGTCTTACACAGGGAAGGGGGAAATTTGCGATTCTTAATGTGCATGGTGCTCAGCTGCTCATTTTAGTACCTTCTCAAGACAGACCCCCCTAGTCTACTCTGAATCGCATCTCCTTCTGCCTGACTGGCCACAGTAGCCCCTTAACCTACAGCTGTTCCGCTGATCCCTCTCAGATCGATGCCCCGCACTCATTTTCAAGAGCAGTTTCCGGGGCCTCCCCTGGTGGTACAGCAGTTGAGCGCTGGGTTGCGAGGCTGCCTGCAGCCTCTGCAGCACCAGTTCGATCCCCGGCCACTGGCGAGGGTCCCACAAAAAAAAAAGTTTCTGGCTCTCCTGCCCCAGTCCTAGTCCCCCCCTTCAGAGCCCTGCACAGCCTGACCCGGCACTGCGTCTCTCTGGTCTCCAGTGACCCCTCTTCACGGCACTCCCTTGGGTTCAGCATTTTGGTTCCTAGACGCTGCCTAATCCCCACGTGCCCCAGAACCTTTCCTTGTGCTCTTGCTTTGCTCAGAGTGTTTCTCCTCGTTCTCATTGGTGTCCTCCGTCCCCAACCCCAAACCTGGCTCAACCTGCCACACTTAGGCTTCCCCTGAGGTGTACTGCCCAGGTGAGCTTTCCTTGATGCTCATCTCTGCATATGCTCAGATTAGGTCTCCCCAGAGTGTATGCTACAAGGCACCTGAACTTTTCATTGTAGAACTTAACTTCCGTGAAGCTGTTATTACTTTGCCCTCTCCCACCGTCAGCTCCTTGCAGGGGAAGAACATTTCTGTGTTGTTGTAACCCCAGACCCTGACCCTGACCCTGACCAGGCTCCTGCTGTGACCTTGGCTACTGCCTGAGTCTCACCGTCCATCTTTGATTATTTTATTATGGTGGAATCCTCACAAGGGCATCAGTGGGGTAAGAGGTACAAGATTCAGATCTTTGAGGCAGACGGCCAAATAGCTTTCATAAAGCCCGATACCTTCTTACATTCCCCTCACCGTCACCAAGCATTAACTCGTCTTCCTCTCTGCTCTGTGGCCATCCATAAAGTGGGGAGGAGGGGCGGCGGTTCGGATGGCCGAGTCCTGGAAACAAGACAGGAATGCACCCTGGGTAGCCACTCGGGCGGCCACAAGGAATCCTGTCCTGGGATGCTTCTGGGCTGAGACTCCCCAGTCTACCTGGTGGTCCTTGAGTGGGTGGGGTGGCAGCGGGGAGGGCCACTTGTCTCCTGTCAGGCATAGATTTCCTGCAGAAGGGTGACGTCTCCAGAGTGGGCTCCTGCTCTGGTGAGCCCTGTTCAGCAGTCCACAGGTCTGTGGTGACCACTGGTCAGGTTATCATGTGACAGCTCCTGCACAGAAGGACATGGGTCGAGGGTCCCAGGCAAAGTGTGATGAAACAACTCGGGCTCCCTCCTAGCAGACCCCAGAGACAGCTCCGCCGGCCATTGCCTGGCAAGCTCTGAGCCGCTCACTCTGCTCCTGGACCAGCTGCTCATCTAGCTCCCTTGTCCCGCCTATTGCTCGCTCCCTCTAAAGTCCCTGCTCGGCTCCCTTGCTTGTAAGCACTTGTAGGGGCAGGAGCTGTCTTCCTTTGTAATCCCTACCCAGCGCGGTGCACCCTGGACCTGCCTGGAGTGCAGCGTCATGCCTGGGTCCTTCAGGCAGTTGCTCACCTCCCTCCACCACCTTCCTCGGCTCCCCTTGCATGGTGACAAGAGACAGCAGAGCCACTGGCTGCTGGGTGCAGCCCACCTCAGAGAGCAAGACCCTGCAGCATTCTTTCCCCAGTGGTTCATAGAATCTGGTGCTTTCTGTTCTCCACATAACAGGTGATCGCTTTTGCCACATAATACATGTCACTTCTTAATGTGCCCCACCAGATAAACACATGATTTGGGGGGTAATTCCATCGGGGTCCTGGTAGGACACATGGCACAGTTGAATTGGGTGATTGAGGAAACTTTACTGAGGCGGCTATTGTGAAGGTGTGGGCAAAGTTTCTCTAGAGGCCACAAAGCCAGTGACCAGCCAGGCGACCTGAAGAAGACAGCGGGGCAGAGGCAGGGGGAGAGTTGGCAGAACCCCAGGAGGAAAGGCCTGGGGCAGAGGGCTGAGGCTTTCAGCTGGGGTCCAAGACTGTCTATGGAACACCCCCCCCCACCCAGAGGGAACCTCCTCTGCAGGCCTCCCCATTGGTGGAGACCACTGGGAGCCAGAGAGAGAGTACACTTGAGGTGTGGTCCACCCACTCCCCAGCTCCAGGGGAGAAGTGTGGCAGAGGAGGAGCAGGTGGAAGGGGCCAGCTCCAGGGCACCAGGTACCTTTTTAAATTAGGCTTTTTACTCATCAAAAGAGAAAAATTTGCCCAGTAGCTCTAAATAGTTATTTTTCTAAAGTGCTTTTTACAAAAATTAGTGACCTCCCACTTCCAAAAAATATCTCTAATCTGGGCCTCCCCTGATGGCACAGCAGTTGAGTGCTGGGCTGCGAAGCTGCCTGCAGCCCCTGCAGCGCCGGTTCAATTCCCGGCCACCAGCGAGGGTCCTACATGGCACAGCAGTCCTCTCCTGCCGCCCACTGCTCCCCTCAGCAGTGTATTTCGTCAGTCTGCCTGTTCTGTTCCCTGCTCTGACTCTGGTGATTTCTCTCACCCTCCCGCGCTTCTGACTGTACCCAGTGCTTGTATAAATAAATAAATAAATCTTTAAAAAAAAAAAAATCTCTAATCTGTCTCCTTTGTTTACTGCACTGCCTGGCCCTGTCCAGATATTGTCACATCAGCCCGGACCGCCACGTTGTCCCTGCCTGGTCTTCCTGCCATTTAATCTCACAGGGCAACTGGCAGAGTGGAAGGTGGCAACCCTGAGGTCACTGTCAGGGGACCTCCAATTGCCATCCTTAGCACACCAGTTTGAACCTTCTCATTGCCGCACCACCCCCAGGCAGTCCTTTGTGTCTCCCCTCAAATGTCACTCTGACCAGTCCCCCTTACTCTGGACTAGATCAAGCCCCTGTTTCTGCCCCCAGCCCTGTACTCTGTTCCCGTGTCTGCTTGGGTGGTGCTGCTCCGCCAGCCTGGGCAAGAGTGAGGATTGGCGCCCTGTCCCCAGCCCCCCTCTGTCCAGCCTGAGCCCAGTGTCCTCACCTGGAGCTGGATTAACTGGTTTCAGTAAAACTGCACTTGAACTGGCTCTCCCATCGAGGATGGCAGCTCTGGCAGCGTCAACCTGGCGTTCTTGTCACAGCCAGGACTAGCTCCTGACTAAAGTCCTTTTTTCTTTCAGTCACATACAGCCTCTTAGGTGGCCCTGGGGCCACAGAAGGACTGTGAGTCACAATAGAGCCCGTAGTTCACATCTTGAGTCAACAGACAACAAACTCTGTTGTCATATTTTGGGGGTGGGGGCGCTGGGAGGTCTTTCTGTTTTCATTGCTCAGGACAGCGGGCGGGGCACATCTTACTGGAAGGATGCTGTAACTGCTGCTCCCCTGGCCTCGGGGCTTTGGTTTTTGCTTTCTGTGGAGGAGAGTGTTGTAGAATTTGACCTAAGATCAAAAGTGTTCTGTTCATAAACGAAGTGACATGGGCTGCGTGTGTTGTGTGTGTGTGCGTGAGCATAAGCATATATAAAGAATTAGCCATAGTTTGAGGTTATTTTGGTTTGGTCCAGTCAGGAAGTTCTGATACCATTTGTGAAGGTTTTACTTTTAACCTTAAGGAAACTTAATCACACTAATTCATGGCAGCCAAGCATGGCCAGAGAACAAGCCTTCCGCCCTCTGCTTGATAGCAGCTTGGGCAGTCCGCTTCCACGCACAGCACCTCACCGACCGCACTCAACCGAGATGGAAGCAAAGAATAAGGCCCAGTTTACATTTCAGCCAGGAAGGTTTCCTGTGGCCCCTACACTGGAGTTGGCCTGTCTTGGGTGTTTGATCTTTTCTGTTGAATGGGGCTTGGCTGTGATTCCCCACGTGGGCCTGTCACACCGGGTTGCCTCCCCAGCTCAGGGAGTGGTGTTCTATTGCCTTGTTCTTGCTGGCACATTTTTCAAATGTACAGAATTTTCTCTCTTAAATCTCCCTGATATCTGTCTCTCCCCTCTCCTTCCCTGCCATCTCTTGCAGTTGAAATTCTGAGAGGATTTCACTCCTCCGGAGCCTCCACCGAAGTGATGTGTGTTCCACAAGGCACAAAACACAAACGACAGTTATTTTGATTGGAAACACTTGGCACCCCTTTAATAGAAAGGGTTTATTTTGGGGTATTGCCTTTGCCTTTAGGTCTCACTGCCTCCAGATTGATCTGGGTGGAGTACTGTCACCTAAGTGTGAACTGCCTTCCTGTTATGTTCAGATGTCCCGAGCAGCTTTTCTTAATGGCAGCTGAACCAGGAAAGGTTAATGACAATATTTGAAAATATTTGTCAGAGACAGAGTATCCTTTCAGTCCGTTAGTGTTCTTAATTGTTCATCCTTCGGCATATTTGAACATTGCGGAGGAAGTCTTACCTCTTATGTGTGCACGTACGCGTGTGTGTGTGAAACTGCACGGGTGGTCCTGAACCCTTAATGTAGTATGTGTGTGTCTGTCTCTCATCATTTTTCTACCTCACCCTACCACCATTCAGTGGAAAAAGTCTGAGGTGTTAAGACTGTCTTCTGTAAAAATTCAGCCAGAAGAGTTGTAGTTGTAAAGTTAACACCCCCTAAGGTCAGTCTTAGCCAAACTTGCAGGCTGAACCAGGCTTCTGACACTGCAGGAGGTGCCCCCTGCTGAGAAGGGCGTATTTGGAAACAGCTTCACCTTCTTTCTCCCTCATCTAACCATGGTGCCCCCTTTTATCCACTTCATATTGAAATCCTTTCCCTGCCCACCCACCCCATGTCCCCACCTTTATACCTTTTTCCTTGGGAAGAGCAGAAGCAAGTGGTCCTTAGAAAGACTTGGTGAGCCCCCTTTTGAGTTGGAGGCACTTAAGTTACAGGTATAGATAATTGCCTAATTCTAGTACTTCTCCTTCCTTGGGGGAATAAACTCGTGGTGACCAGTCCTTGTAGGGTCTATTCACGAGGTTACTGTCCCTCGCCAAGGAGTTGGACGGTGGCATTTGACGTGCGGTACGCCTTCTCCTGTCTCTAGACCCAGCTGGCTGTGACGCGCACTCCTTAGAGCCCTCAAGTGCGAGCCAGTCCCCTACGGTCCGCTCAGTACCCTTCAAGCGGCTGTGGAGGACGCAGGTGAGAACTGGCCACAGGGCCAGAGCCACCGCACGCGCCCAAGGCGGCAGTAGGCACAGGTCATGAGGAGTGATGCAATTACTGACCACGGTCTCCACGCCAGAGGGGTGAGGCACAAAATGACAGAGTAGCTGTATTCGTCAAAGATTCGCGCAGATGAGGAAGAGGACAGCCCAGCCAGAGAGAATTCTGTGTGTTTAGAGGCCAGGGACTCAGCTGGAGGGCAGAGCTTTGAGGAGTGGGTGAGAGGGCCAGAGAAGTGAGCGATGGCCCAGTTACACAAACCGGGGTGCCGGCTGAGGATGGCTTGGATGTATGGAAGGCGACTTAATAGGACTAGTAGACAGGGGAGCAGCAGTGTTGGAGCTGGGCAGGGCAGGACACTAAATAGTTTGGGATGAAACCGCCCCTCCACGCCTACTTAGAGGCAGAGAAATCCCGCTTGGATCACAGGAGAGACTATTCCCCATGAAAATGACAGTATAAGAGTGGTGGCTGCTTTGTCCCAGTAGAAAATTGAGAATGAGGGCCTCCTCTGGTGGCGCAGCGGTTGAGCGCTGGGCTGCGATGTTGCCCGCAGCCTCTGCAGTGCCAGTTCGTTCCCCGGCCGCCGGCGAGGGTCCCACAAAAAAAAAAAAAAATTGAGAATGATTTTCCGCCCTCATTCCCAGTCCCCCTTTCTTGCGTCCTCTTTTTCCTTTAAAATTGCTTTAAAGGGCACAACCTGCTCTCGCCATGGTGTCCCCAGTGGTCAGAAAGTAGACTGGATCGCCAGGTGCCCTTCGGATTCCCTTGGTAAAATGAAAGGATTCTTTTTTTTTTTTTTTTTTTAAGATTGATTTATTTATACAAGCACTGGGCACAGTCAGAAGCATGGGAGGGTGAGAGAATTCACCAGAGCGGGGAACAGAGCAGGCAGACAGACGAAGTACACCGCTGAGGAGAGCAGCGGGGGGTGGCAGGAGAGATCTGCGCACCATGTGGGACCCTCTCTGGGTGGCCGGGGATCGAACCGGCGCTGCAGAGGCCGTGGGCAGCTTCGCAGCCTAGCGTTCAACCGCTGCGCCACCAGGGGAGGCCCAGGGAAAGGATTCTTTAAAAGAAAATAAGGCAAACTGTCAAGGATGTAGGATTCCTGGATTCCCAAAGAAATGGGGCTTCTAAAAATTCGCACTTTAAAAGGAACTAAAAATAGCATTTTGTGGTATAGATGATACACTTTGCGGGAGATGTCGCCCCTGTAGGTAAAGCACCCTCTTGATCTGATATCATTACATGTGAGTACTTTTTGAAATGCACACATTTTCTTTAAACCACTAAGACAGCATAATTGGATAGTCACACACAATTTTATAAATAAGCCAAAATCCGGAGAGTTTCAAAACTTCATAAGTGCATTTTATTTGTTAACTGTTTGATTGTAAAGGGCCAGCTGGCGTCTCGTGTCTTGACTGGATCAAGCAGTGCCCAGCTGTCTTGCCTGGGCCGTGACCACACCATGGTCGTCGTGGAACACACTGGGCTGGCAGCATGAGGACTGCCACCCTCTGCAGGCTTGAGTGAGCACCGTAATGTTTCTGTGGGACCGGGAACCCTGATGCCAAGCTCCCTGAAAGTCACCATCTCATCATGACGTTCAGGCCAGCTTAGCTTATCCGCAGTGGGGGTGTTTTTAGATTTGGCACACGGTAGAGAAGCGCTGTGGCCAAGATGTTCTTCACGTTGAGCAAAAGCTGTATGTAACAGAGGGAGGTGGTGATTTCAAAGCACTTACCTAACGTGTCAGCGGTGAATCAGTGTCGTCTGCGTCTGTAGGCCCTGCTGAAAGGAGTCCAAGAAGTTGAAGAGCAGTCTAATAATGTCTCATAAGACACCTACCTGTCAGGCCAACAAAGGGGTGATTTTATTTTACCCATTCTTTTTAACCCCAGCTGCCACCACCCCCTTTCCAAAGCCATCAAAAACAAATTTTAAATGGATTCCCCTTCACTGTCCCCCTCACCAGGTCTCTAGACTCTTTCCCAGGGGTCAAAGCCTTTTAAAAAGTGTGTCTGTGTGCATGTCCTCTCCCTTTTCTGAGAACTTGAAGGTAAGTGGTAGAATTACCAGAATTCTTAAAATTTGTCTTCAGATCATAGCCAAATTTCATTACTGCCCCTGTGCGATCAGTTGATTTTTGAAGAGCCGTGGAAGTTGTACTGACTTGTGTTGACCATTTAGATCAGCTCTAAATGGTATTTGGGGGGTCGTTGGTTGTGTGGTATCTGGGAGGAGAGTTATGTGATGTAAGAGCTTCACTGTGAAACTGTCCCGAGCTTTCACACACAAGACCCCTTGTACAGACAGGGGCTATTGACCTATTAACAAAACTTTGGATAATTTTTCAAACAGCATTCTATAAACAATACTCCTTTACCATTTTCCTAAAGACACCTTTGTCTAGAATTTGTGTAGAAAATGAAGTGCAGTTCTTATCCCCCAGTATTGCTAAAGAAGGGACAGAGAAAGGGCAAATGAAGTCTTCTTGAAGTAGGCATGGAAGTTTTCTCATCATGTTTCTGGAATGAAGCCAGACACCCAGTCCTTGATTATAAGTGTGCTGTTTCCCCCCCATAGACAGTGTCATGCAGATGAGACAGCCCCCCAGGATCGTTAGGCCTGGTGCGGAAGCGTGGGGGGCAGAGTAAGGGTGGAAGCAAATGTCTCTCAGCTGCAGTGGGTTCCCACCCTGATTGCAGGCCTGCTTTTTATCTTTTCTCATTGAACCCCCTCTGTAACCTGGAAGGTGGGTGCCAACTCCACCCTGTAGGTGAGGAAACCAAAATTTTAGCTCGCGGTCACCTAGTTTGTTGTTGGTGACACTGGAGTTGGGGCCATGTGCCCAGCCCCTCAGACCCTGTCCTTTTGCCACCACCAGGTCAGGTGGATCCTAGCGGGGCGGGACCTAAATCTGTGACTGCAACTTTTTTTTTGATATTTTTTTAAGTTTCTTTTTTTTTTTTTTAAGATTTATTTTTATTTATACAAGCACTGGGTACAGTCAGAAGCGCGGGGAGAAGAGCAGGCAGAAGGACCGAAGTACACTGCTGAGGGGAGCAGCGGGCGGCAGGAGAGGTCTGCGCGCCACATGGGACCCTCCTCCGGTGGCCGGGGAGCAGCTGGGGATCGAACCGGCGCCATGGAGGCTTCGGACAGCTCCGCAACCCAGCGCTCAACCGCTGCGCCACTGGGGAGGCCCTTTTTTTTTTTTTTTTTTTTTTTTAACTATTTGGAAGACGTAGATTGGCTTTGTGATACATGGGAATTTGCATTGCCTTTAGAAGGGCCTCAGACCGGGAGTGGAGGGCGGGTCTGCAGTATGCTGTCAGAGTCACGGGGGACAGAAAAACAGCTTGGAGCCCACTGGGTGGCCCTGGCAGTCCCCACGCAGGACTGCGTTTCCAGGGACCGGCTTTTTCTGGTGCTGGCGAACTGTCACCGTGGACGTTTCTCAGGTCTCCTGGGTTGTTTTCTACTTGCCCATGTTTTTGAAGTGTGAAAAGTTTGCACCCAGCTGTATGGGGGGCCCTGGCACGGCTCTTCTGTGTGTGAATTGGCCCAGAAGATCTCCACTGAAATTTTGTGATTTCTAATTGAAGTACATCAAGAAAAGCCCATATGTCTTAAGTACAGTTTTCAGACTGAGCTCACCGGGGGGAGGCCGGGGGAGGAACTCAAGAAATACAACATTAGTGACGATTCAGTCCCCCCTCCCCGTCCTTTTCCATTGACTGGATTAATTTAATTCTCTGTACAAACCTCCTCATTCCTCATCCTTTAGGTTTCTTCCTGATTTAGGCTCTGACATTATTTTCAGCTTTGGGGGCGGGAGGGGGGCCTTCACTGAAACTTGTCTCTTCCTCCTTTTGTAATTTCATCTCTTGATCAATCTGCTTCCGTTAAACCTAAGTGTTTAACATGTGGCTGCAGAGTCATAACTCGAGGGAATCTGGGGGTTGGAGGAGAACATGCGGCAGCCGTGGGGTAATAACTGCAGCTCTTCCTTGGAATTCTCCAAACTGAACGAAAATTGGGTGGTTGAACTCAACCGTCTATTTGTGAAGAGGTGACGGGCAAACGCTGAGCTGCCTTCTCTTGTGGGGAAGTGGTGATGGAGCCGCTTCCTCATTCTCAGAACTCTCATCAGGCCTTTCAGATTCACTTGTGAAGGATGTGAGCTTTCATCTGAAACCATCGCGAATTAAATACAGGCTTTGTAGGTGCAAACTCATCCACATATGGTTCCGGTCCCCTCCTCTGCTCCACTTTCAACTCATTTATGTTCATTTGTGTCCTTTGTTGTTTTAAACATTTAAACCTTTGAATAAAACATAATGTTTAAATGCCTTTTAAATTGTCCCATCCTGGTGTAGGGCTTGCTGGTGAAGACTGACCAACGGGGGACAGTTGAGTGGGACGATCTGGTCCCTGGCCCTCAGGGTGACCACGGGCCCGCCACTTGTCCTGTGTCTCTCCAGCAGGACCAGTCTCTTCTTGAGGTTTAGAGTAAGGAGTTTACAAGTTTGCACAGCAACAACTTGGCTCTCTGCTAAAGTGATAATCTGAATGCTGGAATATTCCAGACAACCAAAAATTTAACAATTCATGCACTCAAACATTACATTAAAACAAACTTAGTTTATTAATCCCATATTTTCTTGCCTTCTTGGGATGAAAAGTAGATACTAACCACTGAGTAATGATTTTGTTCTCAGAAAATTATACAGACTGAAGCCAAATCTGGAAGTTGCCCTGACATTTTGTTTGTAGAGAGGAACTCTTCTGGGAGGTGGGAGGGGGTAATCTCAGTTAATTTGGCAAGAAAGCGCAGCCCTGTGAACTCCAGGCCCGTGAGTTGTCACCCTTTTCTGTAAGGTTATCGGTCACAAATTAAAATTGACTCTTTCCGGTGATCACCTTATTCTGTTTTGAGGCCCAGGTGAACACTCGTTACCCATGTGCAGCTCGTCTGTCTCCCAAGGAATCTTCAGAGTAGGTGTCCATCTCACCATTTCAGAAATTTCTAAGACATCTTGAACAATCCTGACCTCACGCAGCTCTTCAGGAGCTTTGGTACGCTCGTGCTGTGGGGTCTTCTATGGCACCTGCTCAGGGCCAGCCTCTGCCCGAGCTCACAGCGCTAGGGGTGCCGGTGGCCGGACCACGGAGCGCAGGTCCTTGAGCCTCTGTCCTCAGACTGCGCCTTATTGGCTGGCAACGTTGACTGCTGGCTGCAGGACTCAGGGGTTCCAAAGTGCAGCTATAAGTCATGGATGTGTCACACGTGTTAATGTGTGTCACCGCCGTATCATAAAATATCATGAATTTTTTTTTTAATGATAGCATTGTACTTTTTTTAATAGAGGCATGTTTTATTTATTTATTTGTTTGTTTGTTTTGTTTACACATGCGCTGGGTACAGTCAGAAGCGCGGGAGGGTGAGAGGATTCACCAGAGCCAGAGCGGGGAGCAGAGCAGGCAGAAGGACTGAAGTACACTGCTGAGGGGAGCAGCGGGCGGCAGGAGAGGTCTGCGCGCCATGTGGGACCCTCCTCCGGTGGCCGGGGAGCAGCCAGGGATCGAACCGGCGCCGCAGAGGCCGCGGGCAGCTTCGCTTCGCCACCCAATGCTCAACCACTGTGCCACCGGGGAGGCCCAAATATCATGAATTTTTTTTTTTTTTAAATCTTTTTATTTATTTATTTTTTTAATAGAGGCATGTTTTTATTTATTTATTTTGTTTGTTTGTTTGTTTTTTGTTTATACATGCACTGGGTACAGTCAGAAGCGCGGGAGGGTGAGAGAATTCACCAGAGCCAGAGCGGGGAGCAGAGCAGGCAGAAGGACCGAAGTACACTGCTGAGGGGAGCAGCGGGCGGCAGGAGAGGTCTGCGCACCATGTGGGACCCTCCGCCGGTGGCCGGGGAGCAGCCGGGGATCGAACCGGCGCCGCAGAGGCCGCGGGCAGCTTCGCAACCCAGTGCTCAACCGCTGCGCCACCGGGGAGGCCCCCAAATATCATGAATTTTTTGAAAGTGAAAAGAAAGTTTTCATCACTGAAGCTACTGGGATGTCCTGGGCACCGATTGTCCCTCCCCCCCAAGACATGATTCGGCTTCTGGGATTTGCCGCCTTGTCGTGTACGCTTACCCCAGTGGCTGCCCCCACAGGCACTGGTTGTAGGACTCCTCAGAACACAGGCTCTGTCCGGAAGGGAGTCCCCGGAGCCCGGTGTGGCTGCTGGTCACTGCCAGGCTCCCCTGCCCACTCCGAAGCACTGCGCTGAGGGCGGTGGCATCCAGCATCTTGAATAAATCAGTTTGCTATGAGTTTTACCAACTCTTTTCCACGGCTTGGCATGTGCAGACATGCCATGTACTGCAGACCATGGACCGCTGTGCTAGTCTGCGCCGTTTTCCTTTGCCCACCATTTTGGAGTTCATCTCACATTTGTTTCCCCTTTAGGTTAATCAGTTTTGGCGTGTGTGTGCATGTGTGTGTGTGATTTGTTAGAAATATAGAATTCAGAGGGTAGCTTTTTTACTGTACCTAGTGAATAGGACATGTCATGCTTTTGATGAAACTCTTCCCATGCAGGGTACCGGGTGTGCTCAGCTGCTTGGTGGCTGGCCCCGTCTGCATTAGCCTCGGCAGACAGTAGGGCGTGGCTGGGCCTGTGGCTCTGGAGCTTGGCTTGATACTCTCTGGAGAAGACTTTCCTGCTCACTCCTCCTGGGTGGTGTGGTCTTTCCCGGGCTCTCTTGTGCTGCAGTGTTGGTGTTTGCTGTTCTAGAACCTGCTCTCCAAAGCCCGCCTATTGTGTTTTCCTCATTCTCCCTTCTGCTTTTCTACTGGGGCATTTATGCTACATGCTTGGGAGCTTGAACTCTTATCCAGACACAAGTTCTTTATAATTGTAACTATCAGGCTTTAACATAATGCTGGTTGTTTGAAGTTACAGGAAGTCTTGCATCCTTGTAACTGGTAATACTTCAAATAATACCTTTCACAAACTTAAAACAACATCATGGCCTTCGTGGCTGCCCTTTTAAGAGTAGAAAGGAAATGATCGTTTTTTTTCCCCCTTGTTTTCTTTTCAGGTTTTGAATGAAGAATGTGATCAGAACTGGTACAAGGCAGAGCTCAATGGGAAGGACGGCTTCATCCCCAAGAACTACATAGAGATGAAGCCACACCCGTAAGTGGCTCTGTGGGCTCCAGGGTCAGGCCTGCCCCTGCTTCAGAAAAATGTTCCTAAAAATTAGGCCCCTGGGATAGAGCTCATACTTTGTAGTCCTTGTCTTCCCAAGAAATTAGCAAGCACATTGATGTTGATTAATACAGTGTACTTTTTAAGTTGATAATCATTGCTGGTTATCTTTAAATAGCGAAGTGATGGTTTTATGTAAAACAGTTGTCTCCGTAAGGCCACATAATAGCATATGTTTTAGATTGATAGTAACTGTCAGTGATCTTTAAATAATAAAGCTTTGGTTATGGAGTTTCATAATTCTTTTTCTAGGAAACCCTGGGGGCCAGGTATGTTGCATAATTCTGCATTTTGTGAGTGAAGGATGCTTAGGCCGCTTCTGTATTGATTGAATTCCCTGTGGAACCCGTCTCAGTAACCTTTACCCAGAGCACAATGCTTGAGGTACCATAGGTTCTCAGTACCCTATTAGAGCTGCCCTTGTCCTCCATTTTTTGAGATTTTTAGATGTCCGGGCCCACCTCAGATAGCAATCCGTTTGCTGCTGCCCCCCATTATCACCACTCTACTGCATACCCGTCATTTCTCCTCCTCCCAAGCACTAAAGCAAAGATCGGAGCCACGCCTCGCTGTGTACAGTCCCCTGGGCGCCCTACGCACAGCCTGCACGTAGCTCGCGTCCCCGAGCTTGAAGGGTCCCAGGATCATAGTCCATTCCTCACTCTACACGAGGACAACTTCTCTCTGTCTCAATGCCAGTAACTTACGAATGACTCATAGTACAGAGAGGTAGAGAGTGGGGTGTGGTTTCTCTGCTCTCAGTGGGGACCCCCACTAGTAACTAAGGTTGGGCCGATGCTGCCTGATGCATGGAGCCAGTTCTGGAAAGGTGCCTCATCCTCTTTAAAATGAAGCTTGATTCAGGAGCCTCTCTGTACCGTGCTCTCCCAGCTTCAAGGGTCGGTCATGGGTGCTCAGGGTCCTTCCTGTGTGGCAGAGACAGCTCTTGGTGCTGGGGAGGTAGCATCTGTGTTCAGTTATGCTTAATAAACTCCCCGTGATGTTAATATGAAGTCTTCAAGAAGCTTAGCCTCGAGAGAGGTGGGGGTACCCTGCTGTCAGGTAATAGGAGAGAACCAGACACCTCAAAATGGCTCAATAACTCTTCCACTGAACGATTTGCACATCCGTAAAGTGTTTTTTCCTGGGTTTTGTTCTGGGAGAACTTGTACAATCCTGTATCTTAGTAACTATAGGAGTCTGAGCACTTCTGGACACCAGAGATTTTGGATCCTTGGAGTACTTGTCTTCTGCTCTTACACCCGCTATAACGTGCTTTTGCACATGGTAGTTCAGCAAATACTTTTAAATGAATACTTAGCCCCAAATTCCTGTACAAGCCAAGCTGTTCATGATCATAAAAGCCAGAAGCTCTGGAATCTTTGGAGAGAGAGCCCTGAACCCCTATCAGTGGATGGACAGGGCTGCTCCCTTGGGGAGTCTGTAACGTTACATCGGGGGCTGCCGTGGCGCATGGGTGCTGATGGCCAGAAGGCTGCAAAGATGAGCTCGAGTTTGTTAAGCCTCCTGGGAAGTGGGCCAGGCCCCACTTTGTCCCCCATAGCCGCTCCCTCTGTGCCCCTTGGCGGGTGTGGGCTTTCCTGGACCACAGCAGCACCCTGGCCTGCCCCCAGGAGGAGTGGCTGGGGTGTGCCTATGGAGTGGGGTGCTCGTTGAGTGGCACAGCGCCGCCTCCCCCATGCCGTCAAGCGGGAGATGGGTAGGGCTGCGGGAATGCTTTCTGCAGAAGAGCAGATGAGAAATAGGTTGGGCTTTGTGGGCACTCCCAGTCTGTTATGTCACATGGTCTCTTTTTTCCTTTTTCATTTTTTTTTACAGCAACCCTTTAAAATTTCTCAAAGATCTTAGATGGCGGGTTACACTCCGCTGGGGTCACAAGAGGCTGAGGGCTGTGGTCGCTGACTCCAGGAGCAGGGGCTCCGGCGGCAACAGTTTCCTCGGCAGAACATCACACTGCAGTTTTCATATTGAGGGAACTTCCTGGGTCTCTAAATCCTTGTTTTCTTCAGATTGCTTCGTGGGGCAGTGGCATTTTGAACCTGACTCTTGAGAAAATACCAGAAAGGCCTCCTTTCTTGCTTCCGTGCCAGGCTGGGAGGGTCGGGCTTCGTGGGCACGTGCCCGGTGGGGCTTGCTCTTGGCCAGGCAGCGTTGGTTGGGACCTGTTAACAAACTCCAAGGTGACTGTGGACATTATTCGTGTTGCAGCATGGGGGCAGCCCAGGTGCGCTGCTCCTGCCAGCCAGGGGCACGGCTGCAGGTGAATGGAAAAGGGTGTGGGAAGGAGAGCCTTCCCATGGATGCTGGTGCAAACCCATCTTTTAAAGATTTCTAAGCTGTTGCCCATGTTAACTCCACACAAACATCACCATCCAGAGACATGAATCACGTTTACCAGGGCACACGCTAGGAGATGGCAGGGCCGCACTCGTGCTGCAGCGTCTGGCTATAGCTTGATCGCGCTGTCATGAACTGCTCCACCGAAGAGGGCCCCGTGGTATTTAAATGTTGTTGTGTGTTTGTTTTTTGTTTTTAAGATTTATTTATTTATTTATACAAGCTCTGGGTACAGTCAGAAGTGTGGGAGGGTGAGAGGATTCACTAGAGCCAGAGCTGGGACCAGAGCAGGCAGAAGGACCGAAGTCCACTGCTGAGGGGAGCAGCGGGCGGCAGGAGAGGTCTGCGCGCCATGTGGGACCCTCGCTCAGTAGCCAGCGATCGAACCGTCGCTGCAGAGGCTACGGGCAGCTTCGCAGCCCAGCGCTCAACCGCTGCACCACCGGGGAGGCCCTTTAAATGTTTTAACTGAGGAGTGAAGACTCCTCTCAGAGGGCACGGGCCCTCATGTCGCAGGACACAAGAAACAGGAGGGGAGCAGGGGCCAAGGAAGTCTTGTGGCGTGGAATAGCCTCCCGGTGCTCTGTGTCTTAAGTTGGCTGCTTACCTAACAGGTGTATTTTGTGAAAAATTCCAATTAGCGTCCTCCACTATGGTTCTTTTTAAAATTGGAGATGAAATTGAGTTCATTTTAAGCTGCGATGCCACCTATGTATTCACGAAAAGGAAAAGCCTGAAACCCACGGTTGCAACTGCCACCAGTCGCACTGCTGGGAGCTGGAGGGGAGGGTCCGTAGTTCCACGTCATGCGCATCTAGGCCATGCTCCTTTGCAGTCATTACTCACACCTTAATAACAAGGGAAGAAGGAGAATGCCTGCCTGCTCCAGGAGGAAGGTGCATGGCCCTTGAACCTCTGTGAAACACTTGGGCAGTCCCGGCGCTGTGGGCTGTCGCTTCCTTGGGAGGGTCCTTCTTTTTCTTTAGTGTGTGGCTCCTCTCATGTGGCCTGACTCCAGGCCCTGGAGGACTCCCCCGGGAGTCCGTTGTGTATGTAGGAGGTGGCTGCCCTTTGTGATCCAGAACATTCAAACCTGTGAATGTACCAGCCTAGGAGCTCACACCTTTCTGTGTGTTTTATTTTTTTTTTTTAAAAAGATTTATTTATTTTTATTTATTTATTTGAAGATTTATTTATTTATTTATACAAGCACTGGGTACAGTCAGAAGCGCGGGAGGGTGAGAGAATTCACCAGAGCCAGAGCTGGGAGCAGAGCAGGCAGAAGGACGAAAGTACACTGCTGAGGGGAGCAGCGGGCGGCAGAAGAGGTCTGCGCGCCGTGTGGGATCCTCCTCCGGTGATCAGGAGCATCCAGGGATCGAACTGGCACTGCAGAGGCTGCGGGCAGCTTCGCAACCCAGCGCTCAACTGCTGCGCCACCGGGGAGGCCCCTGTGTGAGTTTTAGTGTGGTCTGCTGTTTCAGAGACATCCTGCAGTGCTGTTGCTTACGAGTAAGATTTATAGCTTTAATGGACTATTTGGTGCCTTTGTTATTCTAGTTGGTGTACTTAGTACTTAGTGACTGTCAGTCACCAGCAAGGAGTCTGATGCGGCAGATGGGTCTGTCTGATCTGTAAGAAAAGTTGTTGCTTTTTAAAAAGAACAAATAAAATAAGGCCTCTCTGGTGGCTTGGCGCAAGAGGTTAAGATGCAACCTATGAAGCTGTTGGCAGCCACTGCAGCACGAGTTTGGTCTCCCGGCCAGGGAGCTACCCATACGGCGCAGTAGACCTCTCCTGTCTCGCCCGCTGCTCCCCTCAGCAGTGTATTTCGTCAGTCTGCCTGTTCTGTTCCCCACTCTGTTTCTGGTGAATCCTCTCACTCCCCATACCTCTGGCCTGTACCCCAGTTCTTATATGCATAAATAAATAAATCTTAAAGAACAAATTAAGGACAAGCTAGGTCCAAGTGCCCCATCCTGATGAGTAATAGCTTCCTGTGAAATAGTTAGGCCCTATGTGACTTTAGGATTTTTTTTCTTTTTTTTTTTTAAGATTGATTTATTTATGCATACAAGAGCTGGGGTACAGGCCAGAGGTGTGGGGAATGAGAGGATTCACCAGAGACAGAGTGGGGAACAGAACAGGCAGACTGACGGAAAACACTGCTGAGGGGAGCAGCGGGCGAGACAGGAGAGGTCTCCTGCACCATGTGGGTTGCTTCCTAGCCCACTGGGGATGGGGGTCGAACTTGTGCTGCAGTGGCTGTAGATAGATTTACAGCGCTGCTCTTAACCCTTTGTGCCACCAGGGAGGCCCTGACTTTAAGGCTTTTTTACAGCTCCTCTTCCCACTGGCTGGCCATGGCCATTGCTCCCACAACTCTGTTTGCCCACTCTTTCTTGTGGCCAAGGTGAGCTAGCATGAGGAGCAGAAGAATCTATAACCATTTTTAAATGAAAAGCTACATTTTATAACTAGCTGCTTCTGCATAAGTTAAATAATGGTGTTCATGAAAGCTACCCTCTGGGCCTGAGAGCTGAGAGCTGGGCCAGCCTCAGACCCCAGCCCCTCCTCCTCCCATTGGGCCTGTCTCCACCTTCAGGGCTCCCAGGCTTCCTGCCCCGACCCTTCTCCCTGCGTCCTCCATGTGGCTGCAGGAAGGGGTCTTGCTCCCTTGTGCGCCTCATCCACTGCTTGTCTGGGCTTTCCCCAGGCCTTGCTGATGAGTCAGAAGGACACTGATTGGTGGGAGCCACATTCGGTAGTGTCTTCCTAGACAGAGTGGCTGGCGATCACACCTCATGAGTCACTCTGGAGAGTGGATGGGGTGACGTCGTTTGAAGGGAGATGGTCCAGCCGCTGGTGTGTCCCTCAGGGGTGCACCTGACCGGAGGGCATGTTGAGACTGGAGGGTGACAGGGGAGGCGCTTCCTCTGGCAAGGGACGCTCCTTCACATTTCAGAGGCCACATATCCCGTTTCTTTGTATGGGACCAGATGTTGACTGGCTTGCCTTCCTTCCTTAGGTGGTTTTTTGGCAAAATCCCCAGAGCCAAGGCAGAAGAAATGCTCAGCAAGCAGCGGCATGACGGAGCCTTTCTCATCCGAGAGAGTGAGAGTGCTCCTGGGGACTTCTCCCTGTCTGTCAAGTAAGTGCTTCCCTGTGCTTGCCCGGAGTCCGTCTCCGACTGCTGGAAACCGAAGCCACAAGCCAGGTGTCTGGCTGCACAAACCAGAGGTCACACACTGGTGGAGTATAAGCCGGGATGGAACTTTATATTATTAGAACCCTGATTTCTGGCTCATTTTAACAGTCAGGTTGCAATATCCATATGGAAAAAGGTCTCCATTCACTGGACAGCAGCTGCACTTTGGGTGCCTTGTGCTCACCAGTTTTCCCCAGTCGCCACTGCCCCTTAGAGTTCGACACACACAGCTGTTTCCTCATCCAAGACCCTTGCCCTCTGTGGGATCCCTGCAGCTCTAACAGCGTACCTGGTTGCTATTTCAGCTGCCTTACCCGAATATCTAACGTAAATCTACCACCGCTGTCCTAGGCTGCTCACCTACCTCACAAGGATATGGGGTTTTCACTTTCCCAAGTGGTGAATTTACCTGGAGGAGCTGGCACTCAGGGAATGGTGAAGGCGGGGAGTTTCACCATCCCAGCAGTCTTAGAGAATATCAGTGGGTTCTTTGGGGTTCTTAAGCAAATCATTCTTATCTCTGAAAAAAGAATTTTTAATCAAGGGCCTCCTCTGGTGGCGCAGGCGGTTGAGTGCAGCTCTATGAAGCTGTCTGCAGCCTCTACAGCGCCAGTTCGATCCCAGCCGGCTGGTGAGGGTCCCACATGGTGCAGCAGACCTCTCCTGTCTCACCCGCAGCTCCCCTCAGCAGTGTATTTCATCAGTCTGCCTGTTCTGTTCCCCACTCTGTCTCTGGTGAATCCTCTCACCCTCCCGCACATCTGATCTGTACCCCGGTTCTTGTACAAAATAAATCTTTTTTTTAAAAAAAAAAGGAATTTTTAATCAAATTGTCATTTCCTTTTTTTTTTTTTAAATCCAGTCCTTCTCTGGCAACTATATTATCAAGTGAACCTCTCTCCTAGAAAACTCACTCCATGATTTCTAGATGAAAAATTATTTGGTTAAAAATTCAGCTCACTTTTTTTTTTTTTTTTAAAGATTTATTTATGCATACAAGAGCCTGGGGTACAGGCCAGAGATGCAGGGGGTGAGAGGATTCACCAGAGACAGAGTGGGGAGCAGAACAGGCAGATTGACCAAAGTACACTGCTGAGGGGAGCAGCAGGCGAGTCAGGAGAGGTCTGTTGCGCCATGTGGGTTGCTCCCTGGCCGGGCGGGGATCAAACTCGTACTGCAGAGGCTGCTGATTGCTTCACAGTGCAGTGCTTAACCCCTTATGCTGCCAGGGAGGCCCAAACTCAGCTCACTTTTGAAATTATATTGACTATTTTTAAATGGAGACTGTAAAACAATTTAGTTGCCATTTACAAATGATATAAAGGTTTTTCACTTCTAAAGAGAAATTGAAAACCGTGTTTCATTTTAGGACCAAATCTTTTAATCTGTGGTTAAAATACAGGTTTTGGAAATGTAGATACTTGTATCTGATCTCACAGCTTGACAGTCTTCAAACGTGCAGTTTTGTGTTCTTCCCACCAACGTTCATTGGCATCTACTGTGGAGCCACCCTGGCCTAGCTGTCCTGGCGGCTCGTCGAAAGGAGAGAGCTGGGTACAGTAGGCTTTCTCCGTGAGCATGTGCAGTTCGCAGTGACGCTGCGGAGATTGCCCATCTACCCCGTCCTCCCCCGTCCTCCCACTTGCACAGAAGCAGTGACTTTTTGATGCCCTTGATTAAACATGCAGATGAGGGTGTGGTGAAGAGCATCTTGAGGTGGCTTCTCGCTAACTTGCGTGGTTCGTCGTCTGCTTTCCTTTTCACACTGGCCTGTGATTAAGCGGCTCTTCTCACTGTGTGTCCAAATGAAAGCTTTGGAGAGTCCATGTAGTTTGTTTTGGAAATAAAATTTAAAACAAGTGTTGTTACCTGCCCTTGACAGCTCAAACAGAAAGTTTCAGTGATCCGGTGTCTAAGATGTTTCTCTAGTTTCAAGATGCTAAGTCTGTGATGAAAACATTTGCAGTGGTCAGCAGCCCTTTTCAGAAACCATCTTCTTGGCACCAGTGGGAGTGGGCTGCTGTGGAGCCTGAAAGATGCCCTGTGCCTGTGTCCTCCCCACCCACCCCCAGCCCTGATTTTCCAGCCCCCTGTTTTCTGGTATAATCTCCGTGCTGGTGCCTTCCTTGCAGCTCAGTGCTGCCACCTGCCGGGCTGTTTTTAAGCCAGTTCTTGATACTTCAAGACTGAAGGAGAGAAGAGCTGGTCCCTCATTCACTCTGCAGATCCTGCTGAGTGCGCCCTGGCGGTGAGCGGCCCAGACGGAGCCCTTCTGAGCCATGTTCCAGCTGCCTGGCCCGCAGTGTGGGCCTTGACCATGCGGCCGGGCACGTGTGAGCCAGTGTAAAGGGGGGATGTTAGGAGGGATAGACCTCTTGTAGGGAGAGAAGTGGGACCCTGAGTTCTTTTTATTCTGGGCCCAGTATGTTGTTACGTTCTTTTTCTCACAAGTAGAACTGGGCGGAAAACATGACTTTGAACTATTCCCAGTTAGAAGAGAATTGTTGAAACATGCCTAGTCCCCCGCATCTCACCTCACTTCCTAGGCACCCCCCCCCACCCCTCCCCAGTCTTCAAGTGTCACATGAGATTTTTCGGTCACTTCGTGTTCAAAGACAAGTCGCACTCCCGGCCTTAAATGAGGCTTAGTTCCATTCTGTGCCAGGCAGGCAGAGAGGCATGGCTCAGGCGGAAACCTTGTTCATTCTACAGGCAGCTTCAGATCTGGGCGCACCCACCAGGCAGGACCCCTCACGCTGTCCCTGGTCCTGAGGGCAGCGTCGGGGACTCTTGGGCCGCCCTGACTCCAGTCAAGGAGTCAGCTGCCCTGTAGTCCCGAGCCCTGGGTGCTGAAGGGTGTTGCCGGGACTGCACCCTCTGGCCTCCACCTGTGTGACCCCTGCCGTCCTCTCTGCGCCCCCAGGTTTGGGAATGACGTGCAGCACTTCAAGGTGCTCCGAGATGGAGCGGGCAAGTACTTCCTCTGGGTGGTGAAGTTCAATTCCCTGAATGAGCTGGTAGATTACCACAGGTCTACGTCCGTCTCCAGAAACCAGCAGATATTCCTCCGCGACATAGAACAGGTGCCCCAGGTAAGCCCGCGGGGAGAGCAGGGGCGCTGAGCACTTGGCAGTTGCTCCTCCAGCGGCGGCGCCTTTATAGAGGAGTTTCTGGGGCTTCTGCCTTCATTGTTCAAAATGTCTCCCTTGGCCGTGTTAAAGATTCATAGCCTGAGACACGAGGTTGGCCTCTCCCAGAGGCTGCCTGAGGCTGCGCGCAGGGACTGCTGGCTGGCACCTGTGTCCCTGGGGCCACTGTAATCACTCTGGAAGTGCCTCATGGGAACAGGGTCCACACTCACCCTGCTTCGACCGTGCTGGTCATGTGTGGGCTGGCATCACCCTGCCCTCTGCCTCGGGAAAGCCTTGGAGCTGTGGGAGTGAGGTGCGATGGGACAAGAGCACGTTCACATGCTGGGCCCGTCAGCAAAGCCCTGACTGCTGTTTCTGGGGTTCTTTCCCCTTGAAGCGGTACTTGCTGCGTCCTGCCTAAACTAAGGCGCCCTGGCCTCCAGCCGCCCGCCTGCTTCCCTGAGAGGGAGGCCCTGGCATCTCCTGGGCAGTGACAACTCACTGAGAGCGGGCGTCGGAGGGGCAGGAGGACGGGGGCGGGGAGGCCCTTCCCGGGAGGGGCGGCCAGCCAGGAACAGCCTCTTTCCCGCCCCTCTTCTGCAGCAGCCCACGTACGTCCAGGCCCTCTTTGACTTTGATCCCCAAGAGGATGGAGAGCTGGGCTTCCGTCGGGGAGACTTCATCCACGTCATGGATAATTCAGACCCCAACTGGTGGAAAGGGGCTTGCCACGGCCAGACCGGCATGTTCCCCCGCAACTACGTCACCCCGGTGAACCGGAACGTCTAAGCCAAGGAGAGGTTATTTAAAGAAAGTGAAAAATTTAAAACACGTACAAAAGAATTCAGCCCACGAGCCGCCTCTGATGGCCCGTGCGGGAGCGCAGGACACCTGACTGGGTCACGCGGTGACCTCCTCACTTTGGTTGGAACTTTGGGGGGTGGGAGGGGCCTTGGATATAAAAATGCCAAAACTTACCTATAAATTAAGAGAAGAGTTTTTATTACAAATTTTCACTGCTGCCCTCCTTTTCCTCCTTTGTCCTTTTTTCATCCTTTTTCTCCTCTGTCCATCAGTGCATGACGTCTAATGCCACACGTAGTCCTAGCTGATGCCAATAATAAAGAACAGAAACCAAGTGGGCTGGTATTTTCTCTATGCAAAATGTCTGTTTAGTCGGAATGACTGAAAGAAGCAGCGCTTTCTGTTCTTCCTGTCTGCACAGAAAGGAGCTGGCGGGGGAGCCGAGCCTCTGCCAGCCGCCTCTGCCGGAGTGGGTGGGCGCCTGCCTCAGCCCTCCCGGTGTCGAGGTGGGCACCGTAGTGTGGGATGGCAGCAAGGCATGTCGCGCCCCCGAGACCTGCGCCTCTCCGTTGCCCCGAGTGGTGTCAGCATGTCCTCATAGTGCCTTTTCCTTTTTCGAGGGTTGCTTATGAGTGGTTGTTTTTTTATTTGTTTTGTTTGAAAATAAGTTAAAGACCGTCCAGAGCTTTCCAGCCATGTGTCTCCTGCTCTGTGTAAATATTTGTCCCTCGGCGGGAGGGGAGACAGGGTAGAGGAAAGGAGATAGCAGAAGGGGGTGCAGGCGCTCTGCCTGCTCTAAGCCGCGCGTCCCGAAGGTTCAGCTTTAATGCTTGTGAGCCCCGTCCCTGCACGCGGGGGCACAGCGCGACCTGTAGGGAAGGAGAGCTCGTGGCACAGCCACCACTGACTGCAGCTGGCTGAGGGCTCAGAAACGGACCTTGTGGGGGCCTTGGGTGAGCCCCAGAGACCCCTGCGCAAGCCCTGGAGCCAGCAAGTTGCAGGCACAAGAGGCAGGAGAGGACGCGGGCGCAGCTGAACTGTGACCCGGCGTGGCCGGCGGCCTGGACTGCGCTTCCAGGAAGGGACTTGAGCATTCACGTCGCCTTCCTCGCTCTGACAACCAGGGGCATCTGTTGGTGGCTTCGACCTTCTGTGTGCCCGGCCTCCCTGTCCAGGTGCACGCTGGAACGGCGCTCCAGAAACAGCCAGATGGTCTTCGCGGTCCGTCCGCAGCGGGCTGTGTTTAGAGCCACCCAGCTCCTAGACGGAGATGTCATGGGAAACGGGGGGTGTTGGGTGCAGGAGGACTGGAAATATTAGGGAGGTCGTGTCCCCTTGACTTCCTGTCCCACCTCGGGACCTGCCTGTGAACCTCTCTCCGCTCAGTCCCCTTCCCGCAACAAAAACAGGACCATCCGGGGCGGGGGACAGCCTGGTGGACCCAAGGTGAGCTTGTCGGACACCCGCCTCGCCTCGCCCTCTGGTAGCTTCTCCCCTCACTGACGATAAGAGGACTCTGGCGCGCATACCTGGACCGCTTGATTGTTTTGTTCTGGATTTGGTGTATATCAAGAAGCCTTGCTGAACTAAGTTTTGTGTGTATATATTTAAAAAAAATCAGTGTTTAAATAAAGACCTATGTACTTACTCCTTTAACTGCGGTAGCATTTGGTAGGTAGCCATTAACTGTGAATAATAAACATACAATGAATTCTTCACCCTGTATCTTTGCTTTCTTCCCCCTCACCGTATCTGAACTAAGAACCTTGTCAGATGCCAGCTCAGGTTGCTGGGGCTCTTGTTTGCCCCTCCTTCCAACTCGCTTAGCTCCTTGGGATGTCTCAGTGCCGCGTCCACAGAGGCGTGAAGCCACACTTAGGTCACAGCGCAGACCCCCAGGTCCCACCCAGTGGTTCCCAGGTTGTGGGGGACGCCCATGCAGGGCACCTGGTGTTGCTGAGGAAATCGTAGCCCCGTTTTGGAAACTTGTCTAGGCCCAGAGCCTTCTGAGGATGAAGCATGGCTGGCTTGACCAACACACACCCTGCCAGGTGAAGGTCAGAGACTAGAACCAGCTATTGCCGAACCTCTCTGGACCTAGATGTGACAGCCAGCTAAGCCTGTCTGGCCACACACCATTGGCTGCAGACTTGTGTGGAGATGGAACAGGAAGGAATCCCGAGGAATGCTCACTTATAGTCGAGGTCTTGTTCTTACACAGGCCTCAGCACGGCCCCCCGTGGGGCTGTAAGCCGGGGTGGGTGGGAGCACCACTGGGAACACTCCCGCTTCTTGCATGGAATGGCGAGTGAGCTCCCCTTGCTGAGACCCCTCAGAGTGTCCCTGCTGCAGCAGGAGCTGGGGTGGCCTCGGCCTCCCCGACATTATTCAGACTCAACCACTTTGATGAGAGGCACGTCGAAGCCGGATGTAGAGGGGACGCTGTGACGGGTCCTACCCTCTGCAGCCAGGGTGACGGGTTGGAGGGAGGAAGGAGATGGTCTGCCTTCCCACGGGAGGTGCTCCTGAGTCGGGGCCCTCGCTCTGCCTGGTGTCTGGATGGCTCGGGAAAGCAGTGGGGGTGTGTCTACGCACCTGGAGGTCCTTCTCAGACACCATATTCACAGGTCATGCAGGCGCTGCGGGTCCAGGCCCTTCTGGCACAGCAGAACAGATGGTTCCCATGCCTGAAGCTTTGGGGGCTCCCTAGACTTAGCTCCAGAGTTACAGGCCCCTCCCTTGGGCCTGAGTCCCAGACAGATGAGTGAGGTGTTCACTGCCAAGGCAGCCAGCTCCAGATGCGCAGGTACCACTGCGTGCCCAGTTACTCTTGGCTGTGGAGGAAGTGAGAACAGGATTGTGGGCACGCGCAGTGCTGAGCCACCAGCACATCTGCCAACCCGCTTGATGCTCAGAGCCTCCAGGCCCAACCTCTTAAGCGGGGACACAGTCACGTCAAGTTTGTGTCCCGTCTAAAAGATGTTGCTGCGACGGGCTTATGTTTTATGCCCTCTGCTCTCCTGTCTATGTGGGCTTGTTGATCGCCCCAGGGCGAAGACCCTCATTCCTGGGGCCAAGGAGCTCCCACTGGGGCTGGGACGCCTCGGGCCGAGGCTCAGAGCCCTGTCCCTTCTCCCCTGACTCTTGGCAGCCTCTCCCCCCAGCTGCTGGCACCCCGCTCAGACCCAGCCGCAGACCGCAACCCTGCTTGATGCGTGCGTCGTCCTTCCCCGTGGTTCCTGCGTGGCCTGCCAGGTGGCGGGTGAGGGGCTTCCCAACAGGCACTGAGGACAGCAGTCGGGAGCGGTGGCAGTTGGGGCTCCACCCCCATCTCGGGAGACTTTGGGATAGGACATGCAGTCAGGAGAGGGCGAGCCCCCTGCAGTGTCAAGAGTGCAGGTGGGTTTGTAGGGCTCCCAGCACAGGGGGAACACTGCCCGCTCTGTGCCCACAGAAGGCCCTGCAGGTGCAGGGCAGGAGGATTCGGGCCCAGAACAGCCTGGAGCTATGGCTGAGGTTGCTGAGGTCATGTGCACTAGGGGCTGTGGCCTGTGGACACGTGCTCCCCCGCTGCCTCGCCCCTGCTGCTGGCTGGACGAAGGCTCCCGCTAGGACTCCGGGCTCCATCAGGCTGCCACCTATCCTGATGGTCGGGGATCCCCCAGGCTGAGGAAGCCACTTGAGAGCCCAGGTGAAAACGTTAGGTTTGAGGGCCTCCCTGGTGGCGCAGGTAGTGGAGTGCAGCGCTGTGAAGCTGTCCGCAGCCTCTGCAGTGCGGGTTCGATCCCAGCCTGCCGCGGAGATGCCCAGGTGGTGCAGCAGACCTCTCCTGTCTCCCCACTGCTCCCCTCAGCAGTGTAGTTCAGTCTGCCTGTTCTGTTCCCCACTCTGTCTCCGGTGAGTCCTCTGACCCTCCCACATATCTGGCCTGTACACCAGTTCTTGTATAAATAAATCTTTTTTTGGGGGGCCTCCCTGGTGGCACAGGCAGTTGAGTGCAGAGCTGTGAAGCTGTCTGTAGCTCTGTAGTGCCTGTTCCATCTCAGCTGGCCTCGGAGCTACCCACATGGCACGGCAGACCTCTCCTGTCTCGCCCGCTGCTCCCCTCAGCAGTGTACTTTAGTCAGTCTGCCTGTTCTGCTCCCCGCTCTGTCTCTGGTGAATCCTCTCACCCTCCCGCGCCTCTGGACTGTACCCTGGCTAAATAAAATAAATCTTAAATAAATTTTTTTTTAAAAAAAAAAGAAAATGTTAGGTTTGTGTCCAGGGGGCGGTGAGTGGGTGGAGTTACTCATTGGGACCTGAAATAAGAAAGCAGCGTGACAGCAAAGCCAGAGCCCGCAGGACACTTTCAGGCCCACGGGCCTGGCCAGCTCGCCCCGCTCTCCCTCCCTTGCCCCTTTCCCCCCAGGCTCAGGCTTGCTGAGACCAGCTCTGCCGGCCTCCCTCAGAAGCCCCCACCACCACCATGCCCGGAGATCACTCAGCTCCAGCACACCCAGTCCCTGCTGTCTCCCGCCCAGCTCACCTTGGGGGCGCCACCGGCGCTTCCAGGCCAGACAGAAAAGCGAACTCGCCCATCAAGCCAGTCGCCGAGTTTGGGCTTCCCCGAGCGTGTGGAGCTGTGTCTGCGCTGGGCGTGTGGCAGACAGCGTTGCATCTACAAGCCACTGCACACACCTTCTTCAGATGTGAGGGGGCTGAGAAGTGAGCAGCTGCCCGAGGAGCTGGCCCTGGCAGACCTGCTGGACTAGGGGGCCTTGACCTCACGATGTGGGAAAGTCGAACTATCTGCAAAGTGAGACGAGACGCCTGCCCAGCCCTGAGATCACACTCATGAGTGAGAACCACCAGGCCGCAAGCTGCCGCAGGACCGGCCTGCTGCTCCCTGCCCTTTGCCAGCCAGTTAGACTGGGAGGGTCCCAAATGCCACAAACAGCCCGTGTGCCAGTGTCCCCAGCCTCATCTGCTGACTCGGTGAGGGAGCGGCATGACTAAGGGGACAGCAGGAGTTTGGGGGGGACTGCATCAGGGAAGCCTGGACAGCTATGCACAGAGGGCTGGTGGAAGCCCACCGGGACGTGGCCCTGTGGAGAGGGAGGGTGGGTTCCTGGCTGGGGGGCCTCGGCAGGCCGGCACCGCACCTTCCAGAAAGGGCCAAGCGTGGAGGAAGGAGACGGGGACCGAGACGGAGCTGGTGCAGGACAGAGGCAGGCCAAAGGCCGCGAGCGCCGCAGGACAGAGCCGGGTGGGGAGCCCTCAGAGGTTGCGACTTGGGAGGCCTTAAGGATGACTTCATTGAGGTACAACTCACTTCTCACACGAGTCGCCGGT